CTCTTTTTGGAGTGCTTAACCTCTGTGGGGTTTTGACTGGTTTCATAATGTGGGAGCTGGGTGGAAGATTTAGGTGCAGATTATCTCTTAGAAGAAATAAAGGTGGGTACAAAGGAAGAGCAGGTGCATAGTGTCAGAGTTCAGAGTGACCAGGCCACAGTACAGCTCTGAACCCAGAAAATCATAGAATTCTAGGGGTTGGAATGGAGCTTAGAGATGATCTACCCCCTGCCCTGGGCAGGGACACCTCCCACCAGAGCAGGTTGCTCAAGGCTTTAGCCAACCTGGCTGTGAACACTGCCAGGGTTGGGGCAGCCACAGCCTCCCTGGGCAACCTGGGACAGTGTCTCACCACCCTCACAGGGAAAACTTCTGCCTAAGATCTAGCCTAAATTTCCCCTCCTTCAATTTGAATCAGTTACCCCTTGTCCTGTCCCTGCAGTTCCTAACACAGAGTCCCTCTGCAGTTTCCCTGGAGCCCCTTCAGCTCCTGGCAGGTTGCTCTGAGGTCTCCACACAACCTTCTCTTCTCCAGGCTGAACAGGCCCAACTCTCTCAGTCTGTCCTCATAGGGAGGATGCTCCAGTGCTCTGATCAGCTTCTTGTCCTCCTCTGGCCTTGCTTCAGCAGTTCCATGTCCTTTGGATGTTTGGGACACCAGAACTGTGTGTGTCTCACCAGAGCAGAGCAGAGAGGAGAATCCCCTCCCTCACCTGCTGCCACACTCCTTTGGCTGCAGCCCAGGCCTGGGTTGGTTTCTGGGCTGAGCTCACACTGAGCTCATGGGGAGTTTCTCATCCCCCAAGTCCTTCTCCCACACCTGCTCTCAATGACTTCTCCCCCAGCCTATAGGTGTGTCTGGGATTGCCCTGACCCTGGTGTAGGGCCTTGCACTTTGCTTTGTTGAACTCCATGAGGTTGGCATCAGCCACCTCTCCAGCCTGTCCAGGTCCCTCTGGATGGCCCAGCCCATCCCTCCAGAGTGTGACTTCACCACACACTTGGTGTCATCAGCACCTTGCTGAGGGAGCTCTGATCCCACTGTCCATGTGCCAACAAAAATCAGACTAGGTGGTGGAAACATCAGCCCTTTCCTTCTGTCCAAGCTTGCTGCTAGAGGGCACCTGTGTCTTGAGCTATGTGCTTTCCCTCCCCTTTGACTCCAGTGCCTGCACACCTTGGTGTTCAAACCAAGCTGCTTCAGAGCTCAGACAGGTATCAGTGACAGCATAAGTGAGGTTGATGAGTGCTGCAGGACTCAACTGGGTGCACTGGGAAGTCCTGCTGCAAGCAGAAGAGGAGGATGTCTTCTGTCTCACCTGGTGTTGTCAAAATGAGGCTCAAACTGTCACCACTTCATCTCCCACTGCCAGGGACATCACTTCTGTACCTGTCAGCACCTGCCTGGGAGCAGTTGTAGGTTACAGCAGGAGCTCCCCAAAGCTCCCAAAGCTGTTCCTGTACCTCTTGTTGTGTTCCCTCAGAAGAGGACTTCAGACTGAGGGATCCAGAGGCAGCTTGGTGTGAATTGGATGGGAGGATTCATCAACAGGTTCACTAACAGTTTGGGCTATAAAAGAACAGATCTTTAGAAATGAGAGAAACTAATTAAGGAGTTCAGGTGCTCATTAGAGCCCAGGAGGAGCTGTTGGATTGGTTTCTTTTATGTTAAAGGTAGGAGAACTGTCTGAAGTTTGCACCCTGGATGAGAGAGGAGAACTTGTATGAGAGGCTACAGCCCTGAGGGAGGGAGTAACTTCAGGAAGAGTTTTAGGACCTGCAGGGTATGGCTGAAACATCATCCAACAGCAAAGAAATGTACTGCAGAGCTGTGCAGAGGCTTGTGGTACACCAGGCTGCAGGGCACTGTGGCAGGTGTTGTGATGAGCAACAAACATTTGTCTGACCAAGTAAAGAAAAAGAATGAGGAGAGGACATGACCTGCAAACTCATGGCTGAGTGTGGGGCCCAGCCCAGGAAAAACACAGGGATAGAAGTTTCTTGCAGCTCAAGGGAAATCACAACTCAAAGGACATCCCTCAACAATCAGTTAGGACCACCTCAACATGAGGAAGAACTCCTTTCCCTTGAGGGTGGAACAGGTGCCCAGGGAGGGTGTGGAGACATTCCAAACCCACTTGGATGTGTTCCTGTGTCACCTGCTCTAGGTGGCCCTGCCTGGGCAGGGCCTTGGACTATGATCACCAGAGGTCACTTCCAACACTTAGTGTGATGCTGTGAATACTCTTGAGAGAATTCTTGTGAGACTCACCTGGAGTATTGCACACAGTTCTGGTTCCCCTGACAGCAGAAGGACATGGAACTGTTAGAGCAAGTCCAGAGGAGGCCACAAAGCTGATCAGAGGAACTGGAGCACCTTCCCTATGAAGACAGGCTGAGAGAGCTGGGGCTGTTCAGCCTGGAGAAGAGAAGGTTGTGTGGAGACCTCAGAGCAAACTGCCAGGAGCTGAAGGGGCTCCAG